TGTGTGTGTGTGTGTGTGTGTGTGTGTGTGTGTGTGTGTGTGTGTGTGTGCAAACTCACCAGTCACCTCACGCATCAAAGTGCCTCAACGGTAAAATGGAGATTTGTTTCACTTTGGGGCCACTGATGATGATTGTGGATGCAGTTAAGTATGAGCTGATGATAATTAGGAAGGACAAAAAAGGGTCAAAGGTGGCGGAGTGTCACTCCGGTGGACTCGCATCAACCACGGTGCTGCGGGTATGTTCATGTATAGATATTTGGGCCTGCTTTGATAGCACCTGTAATGGCTCCCATCTGAGTCTCACCTCCCCCCTGAGATGTAGTGAATTACGTATGTGTGTAATAAGGCAATGGCATGCAAGCAGCAGTAGACCGCTTCCTCTACAGGTGACACCTTTGACCTCTCATCTGTTCCCTGTTGGCAGAGTGGGGGAGGAGGGGTACAATGGAAAAAGGAAGACTCGTGTCCATCTGCATTCTTTAAAAAAAAATACAGCTGTACAATGAATGCCATGCAAAACCCTTTAAACAAACTTAAATGCGGTTATTGCTACAGGAAAACAAAACAATAATCAGACAGTCATCCAAGTGTAATAAATGATCAGCTTGTCAGTTGGATCCACACTCTCCAAAAATAAAACTCAGTGGATGGATTTCAGAGATGGAGGAATGTGTTCAAATTTCCAGTGCATGTCAATCTAGATGAGGAAAGTGCCGCCAATAGTTTCAGCTAAATTCTGCTGCAATTTTTTTTTTGGGAAGTTCTTATCTTTTACCAATGTCATATGTTTCAATGCTTTCCAGTGTAACCCCAATGTCCATAACCTCCAAAACAGGGATTCCAAAATTGCAAGAAATACATTTAAAGTGAGTGAGTTTTTTTTTTCCTTTTAAAGTATGGTCATTAATTTTTGATTAGTATAGAATTGACAGTTCAAAAGTGGCTTTTCCTCACATGCTCCCAAAGCATTCATGGTAAGCTAAAATGAAAACTCAAAATTGCACAACTGGTGACCAATCCAAAGTGTTTTAGTGCCTTGCTCACAGGCACCTGGAAGGTAGAATGCAAACTTAACATCATTCCGACAACTGCTGTAGCTGCAACTTCTCCTATGCTCCTAACACATAAACAAACAAACAAAAAAATCTGATTACTGATGAGGAAATGAACGCAGTGTTTACATGTTAGTCTTCTCTTAACCGAACACTGCAAATTGACCACAAGTGTAAAAGTGACTGAGTGGTTGTTTGATGATATGTGCCTTAAAAAGGATCGGTGATCACTCCAAGCAGGGTGTACCCTGCCTTTTGCCCAGTCAGCTGAGATAAACTCCAGCTCACAAGACAGGACAAGAAAGAAAATGAATTGATGAATAGACCACGATGGAAAAGCCAATGTTATGTGGACGTTCGTCCACTGGGTGTCACTTTTTACCTTGACTTGCTTGGATTGCTTTACTTTTCCCAAATATTTGAACATTACTGAGGTTTTCGAAGGTCAAGTCAACTTTGAGCTCGAATCTACACTGTATTGTTCTTTACTTTTGCAATAAGCACACTTAATAACCATCAGCATCCTGAACGATCGTTATCTGACGAAAGCTACGAGTGAGGCTCACGATACGGTGCTGTTACTAACTAGTACCATGCTGATTTCTGAGGCTATCTTTATGACTGTTTGAGCAGATGTACCTTGAGTAACAATGATTAAATATGGTGATTGTGATGCCGATTTAAAATCTGGCTTTAATTTCATTTTTCATCTTCAGTCCTTGAAAATCAGGGAAAACCCCCCTCGCAGACATACATACATACATACATACATACATACATACATACATACATACATACATATAGAATCTACCCAATAAATGCAAGGTAACAATTCGCATCAGCTTCAATTGTGTTCATTTAAATAATTTATTTTGGGAAATATTTCTAATTATATTCCAGAATTAATTACTCAACGAAAGGGAATAAGTGAGTATATTCACTTCAAACTACTATGGCTACAAAAAAAAAAAAAAGTATGTTTGTAATGAACTTTTACGTATTTGGGGAAGGTAATACTGTAGTTCATCTAAATCCAAAAACACACCTTGAAACAAGCAGTTTAGGATGTCAATTGTTTTATTCAATCAAATGTTCCAACACAAATCAAAGAGAAACCCCTTCATGCAGTAAACAGAAAATATACACGAATTTTAGACCGAAACCACTGATGGACAGATTTGCTCAGATGTGCTTTTTTAAAAAGAAATCTCTGTGACAATGCAATGTTCAGAGCACAACAAACATGAAAAGTAGTTTTGGAGATGGGAAGTTCCTGCCCAGCGCCAGTGATATGCAACATTTTGCATGCGGTTTACAGGGTACTCCCAATAATAATTAAGAGTGATAATGCCATCATTAGTTTCAAATCTGCTTTTTTTTTTTTTTTTAAGGACCACAGGAATGATGCAAACATGGGCATGTATTGTATAGTCCTGTAATCAAAATTGATGTCAGAAATAAAAATGACATTGTAGTGATTTTAGTCTTGTCTTGTGACATAACATGCATCTGATGACGGCGAGCAGGGACAAAGTGAGCCTAATGCTATTGTTGACTTATTTGCTAGGTGTGATTTTCTCAAGCAACTCGAATAATTAAGCAAAACAAAAGCGATGGGAAGGACCACACAAAGGAATTTACTGGTAGTTTCCAATGATCACTTCAATGATTGACTTGGAAAATTAAGAGATCTTCCAGCTGGGATGCTCAATTGTCCACTATTTAGTTCAATGTATGCTTTTTTTTTTTTTTTTCAAAATTTGAAATTAGCTTGCATTTTCAATTTTATCAAATTGTTTTGGAGAAATCAATCAAACAACTAGCTACTCTCAAAACGCTCCTTCCTCTAGTCAGCAACCCAGCCACGCCTCCCTCCCTCTTCACATGTTTTGGCAGGAGGTACAGGAGGAACCAGACAGTATTTGTCCATTCAAAATGGTTGTGCATTCCAAACAATTTCCAAAAACTACACTAAAATTCATGTGGACATCTCAATGTATGCCCACTTCAACCTCTGAAAATATCACAAGCATGAGAGTGTTCATGGCTAAACTAGAAGCGAATGAGTAAATGAGCATCTTAGATACATTTTCTCGTATGACATGCATGGTTTCTTTGATAAATCCCAAGGATATGAACACAATATGTTCTATCTTTGGAATGACCTCCCACTGAACATTCGTCAAGCCCCCTCGCTGCCCATCTATTAAACCCGCCTCAAAACTCACTTGTATTCTTTGGCATTTGACTCAGCATGACTCAGACTTGATCTTAGTTCTACTGTTTGGTGCTTTCTACCGTCTTTGTTACTGATTTATTGCTTTATTGTTGTATAAATGATAGTTGCTCCATGTACAGCACTTTGTATGCAGCAATGGCTGTTTGAAAGTGCTCGATAAATACAGCTGAGTTGAGTTGAGTATCCGTAAACCTATAATGTATGAAATATTTATGTAAAGTGTCCATAAATATTTGATTTGATTTGATTTACATTGTAAACCATCAATTTTAACTAAATAAATCTTGGTTAATCCACAGTGAGCCTTACATTTGAACTGATTCACTTTAATTAGTTTTGAAACTTACAGATTTATGTTGATTTTAAGAAATCTAAACACATAAATTCGAAGCTAAGTATTGTCATACAGTATCTGTTCATTGTTCTTTGTGCGTGTGAGGGCGGGGCCACTTGAGAGGGGATGAGCCAGGAGGGGGAGATTGGCTCGGAAAGGCAGTCTGAGTGTGGACCGTAAACGGGAGTTGTGGCCATCAGCAGCCGTTTTGCTCATGAAAAAGTGCCAACAGATTGCATCAGCGACTGTGTGCATCCTTGGCGACACTGAAGGGCATTACAGAATGATTTAAGTGTGATGAAAATACTGAATGAATTATTCCATGATTTTTTTTTTTTTTTGGGTGGGGGTCGCTCAGTTTTGTTTCGGGGCGTAATCCACCTCTGTGGGAGCCAAGAACGTGCTGTATGCAAGTCCAAATCGAGGAACGGCGTTGTATTTCCTCTTGGAATTAGTCAGTGTACGCTCTTATAACGTGCCATGGCAAAGAACAAACAATTCCGTGGCGGACATAATGATGATTTATTAAAAATCGAGACTGTTTATAATCCCTATTCAATGTTCCTTGGAAAACGTAAATTCGCCTTGCGATGAGGGAGGAACTATCCTGAGACGGCTTCATCCTTTGAAGACAAGCTGCTCGGTGCCTCTGGCTTCTCCTCCTCCTCATCAGAACGGTCACGATTTTGCATCGCGTGACCGCGCCTCCTACGTCACGACTGTTCCCCTAGTAGACAGGCGCGTGTGTCCGTAGCAAACAAGTTCAGCCCAGATTAAAAATAGTTTGTACGCGGAATCGCTAGGTTGCGGGGAACGTCTAGTGACGTAATTCATGCACTCTGCTCTTGTGAAGGAGTAATTTGACATTTTCCACAAAGGTCCGCGCCATTTATCTCAATGTTTCCCTTGTGTGTTTTGTCACTTGTTTGTGACGCACCCCGTATGCAACATCTTCCCCACCGTTTGCCGACACGCTAATTGTTTTTCAATGCACATTTAGACACAAGAAAACGCCGAGATCGCACTGGGTCATAAAGCTAACGATTTAAAAAAGAAAAACAATTTGTGGTTGAGAAAAATCCGTACGCCTTCGTGCTCTGGCCGATTTGGGTGGGATTAACGGATGGGTCAAGGAAGGGAGCAGCACGGATGACTCATAGCTGTGTACTCAGCGTGGACACCGGATATCAATGCTGTCTGTAGGCGAGGGGGTAAATGTTTTCAACTGTTGTATTGCCTTTAATCACTAGCTCAGCTGCCCTCTCGGTTACGAAATGTTGAGCCACCTGCGAGGCAAAACTCACTGACTTTGTACGGTACCGAGTGTTTTTACCATGCAGAAACAATCATATGCTGCAGAAACAATCATATGCTTCTACACTTAATTACATTTTTAGTCCACCTTTCCGTTCGTTCTAAATAGAATTCCTTTCCGACATGTTTGGTGACGCCTGTTGTGACCTGTGTTCGATACATGAAACTCTTGTCAGCTTCATCGCGCACACACACTCACACAAACGCGCGCGCGCTCACACACGCACACATACACACACGCACAGCCATAAGTGAATGACGGCAGGTCGCCATGGAAACTGCGTTACGCTCCGGGCACCCGGAGAAGAAAACAAGAGTGCGAGGACTGAGTGGAGTATTCATTTCAGCACCCAGCGTCTCGTGGACAGCGCCCGGGTGAAGTGGAGCAGCCTCACATGTCTGGTCAGGGACAGAGCCGCATGCAGAAGCAGCAGAAGCAGCAGCAGTAGCGAGCCTCGCCAACGTGGTTCCAGACTTCCAAATAAAAAACAAGACTCTCAGACCAACTCGACGTGAATCGCGGTGGTTCCACGAGGTTTGATCCCGGTTGCGGGAAGAGGAGCCAGTCGCTCTGCCTCAGCAACAGGTAAGACCATGTCAGCGCTTTCAGATCGGTCTGTTCATTTCTGCTACATGAATCATTGATGTGAAGTTAATCCGAACCCCCCAAAGTGCCACTTCTCCTCATCCTGACAAGTCTTTAATTACCTTTCCCTAGCATCTCACTTTATAAGGCTTACATGATCGAATCAAACCAAGGAAAACTCTGGCTCATTTGGAGTGTTCGGTCATGACATACTCTGAAACTATATAATACAATAAGGTACAATACATCTTTTTTTATGAAGCGCTTTCACAACAGCTGTAGGTGCAACAAAGTGCTTTACGGAATATTTCACATCAAATAACAAGAACACAATAGACCACATAACATGAAACGTCAAGAATACGACAAACGAAACAAGTATTCCCACGTACGTCTTGTTTAGTGGTGTTAATTCATGAGTAAACACTATGTACTTTCGTTACAAAAAAAGACAGGGGAAAAAAAAAGAAAAGTAAAGAGAATATTCAACAAAATTGGTCAAGTTTGAGAGAGTAATTATTGTAATCATGTCCTCTTGGGTGCTTTGCACTGACCACGTGAGCTTCAGAAAATCAAAGTGGAGAGGACACTATTCCTCAGACTTTTATTGTAAATCGAGTTCTGTGTACCAAATCCAAGCATTATATGTGAGCTGAGCTGATACGCCTGGATGAGTCACTCGGGCTGCAAGTTTGCAGAAGAGTGTGACGGGGGAGAAAGAGAGAGAGAGAGAGAGAGGGGGAGAGAGAGAGAGAGAGAGAGAGAGAGAGAGAGAGAGAGAGAGAGAGAGAGAGAGAGAGAGAGAGAGAGAGAGAGAGAGACAAAGGGGCCAACTGTATAAGGATCCTGCAGTGGCTCTTTGATTGTTTTTATGGCCAGTGTCAACATCAAGGGTTGTGAGCTTTGCCTTTGTGCATGTGTTTTCCAGACTGAAGGGCTTCTTGGTAACCTAATTGGCACTTCCATTGTATTTTGTTTTTGTCACTTTCCAGTAAGAGTGCAATGAAGGACTTATTGTGTACAAAAGAAAATTGGTGATTCAGATTTACTCAAACTACAAGATGGATTGCAAGCTTGATCAAGTCTGTGGACTGTTGATTGTGGTTGTTACAGACTCTGAAGTCTGACAAATGACGGTCAGAGTCCAACCTATTATTGTTCATTAGTATCCTGTTATTTGCCTTCGAATATTGACAAATCACAGCAATCAGCTGTATTCAGCTGTAGCAATGACTGACAAGCATTGGTGAAAACAAACAGCAGATCACAGTAGGCTGCGATGTATCACTCGTTCCCTGAACATTTTCCCACAGGCACGCGCTGCGTCTTGTGACACAGCTGTTGACAAATGTAATATGCTTAATTTAAATGTGAGGCAAATTTCCCACGACTGAGTGTTAAGTCCATATGTGCAACTATCTGTATCACCAAACCAAAATGAGCAATCTGATCTCAAACTCTGAACTGATTTGCTCTGTTTCTAAAGGGATTATGGAAAAGCTTGTTGTGGCTCACACGCATGCAGGAATTATTGTGAGTAAAATATGTAAATGAGCATGCTGTGTGGCGTGCACACAGACATGAAAACAGATGTGTGTCCTTAATTTGTGACGTTGGTGTGATTAATGAAGTCTGCCGGCAGTGACTCATCCAGCTTAACCCTTACACTGCTTGTGGAAACAACCAAATGATAAATACTTTGGCTGTCACAACAGATGCCCGTTATTAGTTTTAGTGTTGGCTTTCATTATCATGTATGCCAAGTACAGCTATCAAATAAACATGGCTTATAGCTTTATTCATATAATGTTTCAGACTGAAAGGGAGTGTTAATAAAGTCCCCGTTTCATTGGATACGGGCAAAGTGCATTATGCATTTCAGATTCAATTATCCCAGTGAAACACTTCTTCATTTGCTGCGATCAGGTTGCAGCAGAGAATGTTTCTGCAAGGAAAAGCTTCATGAATGACCATGTGTCAGTTTGTCAACACAGCAGTTATATTAGCATTGTGGAAAAGCTGTCAGCCAAGCTGTGACTAGCAGGCATCAGACTGGCCGTGGCAGCGATGCTCTCCCACTCTATCTCTCGCCATGTATGTAAGCGCACAGCTGTCCCTCGGGGAGCAGGGAGCGCTAGGCGAGTGTGGGCCGGAGCTCTGCGCGAGTGGCGGGGGGTGGGGTGGGGGGGGGGGGGGGGGGCGGGGGAGTTCGACCATTGTTGGATTAAATATGAATAAACTCTCATGTCAATTATTTGTTTTCCCTCTTTTAAGGCATCAGCATGTCTGAAATGAAATCCAGTCAGCGGTTCCACAGCCTGAAGCCTGAGCAAGTGGCAGTTCTCCATCAGGTTTTGTCAGACATTGTTCCCATCCACGGCCGCGGGAACTTTCCAACCCTGGAACTCCGTCCTCGAGACATCATCATCGCTGTACGGGCTAGTCTGCGGAAGCAAGGCATCATCGTTAGAGACGTGCGCCTCAATGGCTCCACGGCAAGCCATGTTCTGGTCCAAGACAACAAAATGAGCTACAAAGACCTGGATATTATTTTTGGAGTGGAGCTGCCCAGTCAAGAGGAGTTCCAGGTAAGTTTTAACAGAAAAGAAACAGCCAGCTCAATAACGTGTGCTATTATTTCCATTTAGTCCAGCGACCCTCGCTACCAATACTGCAGTATCGATTTTTGTGCTTTTCATTCTGACAGAAATAATTTGAATCTAAACTAATTCCGTTACAATTTATTCCAAAGGCAGACTGAATTGGTTTTAATATTTATAACTGGATTACACCTGAAGCCAAAGTCTCATATTGCGAGCAATATTGCAGTCATTATTTATAGTCCTTGTCATATTTGTTCCCTTCTCCCACAGGTGATCAAAGAGTCAGTACTTGGTTGCTTGCTGGACTGCCTGCCAGCAGGGGTCAACAGAGAGAGGATCAGCAGTGCAACAATGAAAGAGGCCTATGTCCAAAAGATGGTCAAAGTCTTTAATGAGCAGGACCGCTGGAGCCTCATCTCCTTGTCCAACAACAGTGGCAAAAACCTGGAGCTCAAATTTGTAAGCATGCTGAGGAGGCAGTTTGAGTTCAGCGTTGATTCCTTCCAAATCATTTTGGATCGTCTTCTTGAATCCTATCTGCAGGAGTCACTGCACAAGCATAATGTTACACCGAAGGACCAAGAGGTAGAGAACAAAGATGGTTCTTCTCTGCTTAAGCAGGGTAGCGCTGCAGGAACTGAAAAATCGAAATTTAAAAATGCATCCCTTTTAGAAGAAGGGGCTCATATTACCAACACTGAACAGAAGGATGACATGCATGGAAAAGAAGATACAATGCAATCAACAAAACATTCCACACAGGAAGACAATAACAAAGAAAAAACACCCACAGAGCTAAATGAGCACCAAGAAAACTTGAATGAACCCAAACTCCCTGGGCATGCATCTTTAAAAATGATCGCAGGAGAGAAACCAACCACTGAGACCGATGTGGCGGAATATAAACTCAACGACGCGATGCAGCCCTCAGACTCAACTGAATGCTCAGCGCACTTGGAACCAGTATTTTCAAATCACGATGCACCTTGTGATAAACAGGAAGTACTCACGGAGAAAACAACTGGACTGACAAAGACCACACAGCCAACGCCGACAGAGTCCGTAAGACTGACAAATAACTGCGACAGCAGAGAATCATCCGAGAACACCGAGACCTCAAAAAGTTTAGATGAGCGTGAGAAAGATGAAACACGATGGTTGTGTAACCCAGATGTTGACACATCTTCTCATCTAAGGGCAGACAACACCTTAAAGAGCGGAAAAAAAGATCAAATTGATGTACTGATTAATGCAGAGCTTCAAGGGGACATAGGAAAAAGTCATCCATCAAAAAAAAATTTCACACCGGAAGAAAAGACGGAGCGCACACAGGCTGATGGGTGTGTTTCTTCCATCGCCGCCACACCGCTTTCACCCAACAGCGCTGTAGAAACACACAGCGCACAGATTGAAAAATCACGTGACAGAGTTGACAGCATGGCAGACACTCAGGACACACTTGCACCACCCAGCCTTGTTACTGACGAAAAGGCATTCTGTCCACCTTCTTGTAAAGTTTCAGAAAGACTCTCTCATATGGTGGTGCTTAAGCACTCATCTCCTAAACCTCCGCGTAGGATGTGCAGGAAGGTTGCCTCCATGCCTGACCCTGTGCCAGCCTTTGAGAGTGACTCCATATCAGATTCCAGTTTAGATCCAAACTCTTCCTCAAGCCCTGAACCTGATCTTCATGGTAAACTAAGACTTGGGCCCAGTCTTGTTACGGCTACTGGTTCAGACCCCACAAGAGTCACACTCTCGATGATGACAGTCCCTGGGATCGAAAACAGTCCAAACAGCAACCTGTCATCAAATCTGGACTTCCGCTTCACTCCTGATCCCGCCCCAGATTCCATTTCCGCTGAACCTCTGGATCCAAAATCTTCTGAGTTAATCACAGAGTGTTTGTGCGGAACGGACATTCAAACCCGTGAGGACAGACTAGCTGATCAAAGGCAGTCTTCCACCGAAAATACTACTTTGCAAGTGAAACAAAACGAATCTCCCGATAGCCTGAAGTCGCTAGTTTCACATAGTGATAAATGTCACTCAAATACCCAAGAATCTGAAAGCAATGAGGAGGAGGAGAACAACATTGATAAGCCAAGTGGCAGCAGCGAAAAATCCTCACCTCTACAAAAGACCCCTCCGCCCCAATCACCTTCCTCTTCGCGCAGTGTCACCCCGCTAGTTTCATGCCTCCCGCCTCCTGTACTCAGTTTCTCACCTCCCTGCTACACCCCTTCGCCCCCAAGCCTCAGCCCACCCCCATGCTTGACACCCCCCTCTCACTGCCTCTCGTCTTCGACGCTGCACACTGCCGGTTCCGCCACCAGTTACAGTTCTCCTTCCCTCGGCTTCAGCCCTACATCGTCCTGCATCAGCTCCCCTCCTTATCTCACCCCTCCTATGCTCAGCCTCAGCCCTCCCCCTGTCTGTCTAACTCCTCCTTCTCCGTGCCTCAGCCCTCCCCTCCTCTGCTTCACTCCTCCAGTGGAATCAGAGGATCCCGCGTTTCAGATATCCTCAGACGCTGGGTCTCTGATTGACAACTCAGACAGTGAAGAACAGATTGTCGAGCCTTCTACCCTGCACCCAGCTTCTGTCTTGCAACTGGAGGATAAAAGAGAGCAGACTTATGTTTCTTTGTTGACTCAGGTTCCAGAGCCTGTCTCTTTTCCGATCACACTACCAAGTGCAACCTCACATGCGCTGCCCCAGTGTGCAGACCCAAGCGAAGCTGCCCCTCCAAACACAAATGATGCATTTAGCTCGGCGCCTGAGAGCAAAGAGGCCCCAAAAACAAATGCAGACGTGTCTGAGCAGATCGCAGCTCCTCAAGAAGCGGGCTGTGTCCCTGCTGTCGAGGTCCTGGCCGAGAGCATGTATGGTGACTTTGAGGCCGCCATGGATCACCTGCGCTACCGCTTAATCGCTACAAGGAATCCTGAAGAGATTCGAGGTGGCGGCTTGTTGAAATACAGCAACCTCCTGGTCAGGGACTATCGACCGGCCAGTGAAACTCAAATAAAGACACTGGAACGTTACATGTGCTCACGCTTTTTCATTGATTTCCCCGACGTGCAAGAGCAGCAGAGGAAGATCCTGTCCTACTTGAAGAATCACTTCATTGGAGAGGAGAGAAGCAAGTATCAGTACCTAATGACACTACGCCGCGTGGTGGATGACAGCACGGTGTGTCTGATGGGCCATGAGAGGCGCCAGACTCTCAACATGATCACGGTGCTGGCACTGAAAGTTCTCGGGGAGCAGAACATTATCCCGAACACAGATCATGTCACATGCTTCTATCAGCCTGCTCCATACCTTGCTGAGCACAACAGCCCCTACCTGACGGAACCCAGTTACTGCAGCTACTACATCCCCCAAGGGGGATCAACTCTCCTTTACCAACCATACCCCTTGCACATGCACACACAAACGGGACTAGTTTAACTGTGAAGAAAATGTGCCTGAATAGGTACACAAAACACGCAGCAAAGGAAAAAAACCTACCTGTTATGAGCTAAGAGCTGGAGAATGGAAGTAGCTTTGGCCTCTCACAGACTTTTCAGTGAGTACCTGGGGGCTGTACTTCCAGTGGTCCTCTAAAGTTAAAACAAGATTATTAGTCATGATTTTGGGGAGGGGGGAGGGGAGATATTTGGTATCATTCCTAAAAATACTGTGCGCCCATGAGTGATAACCGTTTGAGATACCTGGGACCAAAGATGAGTTTCTGACCTTCTCAGACATGCAAACATACTTCCAGATTCTTGGATTCCGATATGTCCTTTTCCTGTTCCTACTACTGTGTTGTTCTGATTGGGTTTGTTTAGAATTTGGACCTTGCCTGTGATATATATTGTGCATGGACTACATCGGACTGTTCTCTCACTGCCAAATGCTGTGTGACTATGTTCCCAAGACGGTTTAATGTAAATGTTGTTTTCATGTACTGAAGAGTTCATTTTGAAGACGTGTACAACGATGGATTTTTCAATTTGTGAAGTGATATGTTCTTTCGTGCATGCAGACATATGAACACCACGCATATTGTAAAATTGATGGGAAACCAGATAATGCATGAGCAACTCGACATAGCGTACATATATGACACAATGCAAAGGCTTTTAAGTCAATTGAAATTTCTCTATTTTTGCAAGACTTTCCAAGACTATACTCAACGGTCATCCTGCTGGTTGTTCACAATGCCTTTGTAACAGACTGTACAGCATACCGGTTACAGTATGTTGTGTGTGAATAAACAATCCGTCATTTTCAGGTAAACTGTGAGAAAATGTGCCGGATTCCTTTTCTTTTTTTCCTTTTTGTGGAATACTTTATGTAGTCATGTGACGTACTTGACGATTTAGTTTACATGACAAAGGTGGTCAAATTATAACCATCTTTGCGTCACAAGAATGGATGAGGTAGAAGCAATTGCCTTTGAACGACTGACTCGTCTCACAGTGAATCAGCATTCACGATCTACATGATACACTGTAATTCCATAACAATTTCAAAGCAGTTTGGATCTAATTTAAAGTGACAGAAACCATGACCAAAGATGGTTGGGCAGGGAAATCAAGTGCCTAATTGAAAGAAATAAGAGTCTTTATCTTACCGCACCCCGCACTGGGGGTGTTAACGGGGTGGGTCTGGACCTGGGTTGCAGTTTCCGTGTTTCAATGTTGACCCCGTCACTCCTGCCTGTTTTGAAGTCTTCTTAAATGTACTTGTTTGTTGTAGTTTATTCATGTACCTTTTAATAAATAAAGGGGAACTTAAAAAAAAAAAAACAGTTCAAATATGGTGAGAAATTATTTTATATGCAGCTCAGACAAATTGAAAAAAGTCACTTTTCGATTCTTTTACTGTTTGACACTGACCCTTTTTTTCCCACAACAAGGCATTGTGTAACTCATCGTTAGCCATGATTTGGTGCGACAATGTTCCACTTAAGCACAACAGTCACATCAAGATGGCGCCATGGAGACCAAACTAAAGGTGGGAAACTGTGCCTGTTTGAGGATCTTTAAAAAAAAAAAACAAAAAAAAAACACATAAATCAACTGTTCGTCAGAAGTGATGGGATCTGCTCATTCACATTAATGCAATAGAGCCGAGTCAACAATGTGTATATGCAAGGAAGAGGCAAAGGTTTCAGATCAGGATGTGCTCTTTTACAGGTTGTACTCAAAGAGACTTAACAGGCGAGAATGCCTTCGGGGGCCTCGAGTGTGATCGCAGGTTTCATTCGCCAACTATTTACTCCCAACGTAGGCTTGCACAAGGCTGTGTGGCTCTGTGGGAGAGAGGAAACGTGTGTGATCTTTGAGGCTCTATACCAGCATCTCACAGACCCCTGAGCCGCTCTTGTCCACTCGGGGTTTCCATAGAGACAGGGACAGACAGCCTGTTGGGTGCAGGAGAGCATGACGTAGGACAGGGAGGGCGGTGGCTGATGCGGATGTTTAAAGAAACAAAAGAAAAAGGCTGGTGAAATAAATGGCTCAAGATAGTGGACGGGTGGCCACAAGAGAAAATAGAGTTGAGGAGGGAACAATAAGACAAGGACAGTGAGTGGGGAAGGGGAGATAAAGCAAGAGGTGGGCGGAACAGAGGAGTTGATGAGGCAAGCGTGGGAGGCTGTCAGGCCTTCAGTCACAAGGGAGTCACCGTGAAGTGGCTGCGGTGACGTCAGCAGTGATGTCAGAGCAGTATATACACACACACACACACACACACACACACACACGCACAC